TGCCCGGGGGGGTGATCCCACACACGGGAGGCGATGGTTTCCCACCCCTCGCCCCGCGCATCCCGCCGAGCGGTTTCCAGATCTCCGAGCAGAGATTTCTGAAGCTGCTTCGCTTCGACCCAGCGTGCCTCCAGCCTGGGGGGGGGAACTCTGCCTTCCAGCCGGTGCTGCAGGGACCCCCAGCCTCCTGCCCACTGCTCACAGTCTTGCCTTGGTCAAGGCGAGCTGACACTTGGAGTTGGAGAAACAGCTGAATCCAGGTTTCCGTTTGTCCTGGACGTGCTGGCTTATCTAGCAGCAATTCCAAGGCCAAGGTGCCCGGGGGGCTCTTTGCATACCTGCCTGGGCTGGGGGGTTTGCTCCGGAACGTTGTATGGTCCGGAGAGGTTCCAGACACCCAACCCAGCAGCTGCCGCGCGGCCGAGGCTCCTGTTGCGCCAGCCCAGATGAAGTTCACAAAGGCTTCATGCCTCAGACCGCGCTGCTGGTTGGAGATTAAATGTCTTCTCATAAAAAGCTGTGGTCAGTTTAACTCCGAATTGCATACTTTGCTTTATCTGTGGGCTGGAACTCAGCAAAGTATGCAAAGTCCCATTTAAATTAATGGGATGCTTCAGCACTGATTTTAATGGGATTTTGTATCATAAAAATAACACTTAGAAATGCCCTAATGTTTTGCTGCAAGCTGGCAGCAAAAGTCACTGGAACTGGGATAATAAAAATACAGGCTTTATGTGAAACCTATGACGGGATTGTCATTAACTTCAACGGCACGGTTTCAGGCCTTATTATTTCAGTTTACACTTGTGTAAGTAAAAATTACTTTACCAATTAAACAAGAATCTGTGACAACTTTTCTGTTCCAGTCTGGCAACTTGTGTGTGAAAATTCGGTTTGATATTATCGTAACAGCCAAGGTATTCAGACTTGTAAACCAGTCTGTATACAAGGGCTGAGAACAAATAAAAACAAGAACCTACACATTGTTTTTTGCTAAGAGTTTGCCCATCAAACAACGTTAAGTTGTTACTTTCAACAAAATACTTCAGATCCTTCCTTTAATCTATCCAGGAGAACAGTTTTCTGCTCACCCTCATAGAAAACAGTAAAAACCTCCTTCAAAGTAAAATATGTTTTAATTAACAGAGCTGCAAAATCAAACCCACAGCTATGCAGCAAGCCTCCTCTGCAGCTCACCCTTGTGCGAGCCGCTCGGGCAAGCTGCTCTTATTAACGAGCTACAGGCTACGCTCTGCTCCAAGCTGATTAAGCAGTAGGGCTGCAGGCAGATATCCTATCAAAACCGTTTCAATGGCAGCCAGCCTTTACTTTTGCGGCACGATTTCTTTTTTTTACTGGAAAAAATAATTTATTTATCCCTAACTCCAGTTTTTCTAATGAAGGAAGCATAGGCACGAAGTTCTTCTTTACCAGAAAACTTCCCAACAAATAAAAATTCCCATAGGAAATGAAAAAAAAAGAAAAGCAAAAGAACATGTGCGTTTGATTTTTTTTTTCCCCCTTCTGCGAGCGAGTAACTTCTTGCAAAAACCCAGGTAACGCTGCTCAGTCCCCGTGAGAGACGAGCGCGTTTGCCCACAAACCTGCCCAGGAGATCGGCGGAGCGAGGTGCCCAGGGGTG